ACTCAGACGCAGGCAGTGCGCTGCATGAGACAAAAAAGTAATATAGCCAAAACAACCGCATAGCTGCTCTTTAGTGTAGATGCATGTTGATTTTATCAGACAATGCCGCGATTATAAATGAGAGTGACTCCTGGTTATCATGTATTAAAAGGGGTCGTGTTTAGTCACTATTTAGTGTGGTATTTTTTGACAATATTCACTCATCATGACAGTAAAATAGGGCATTCTAAGTCAATATACTGCAGTATTTCCTCTCTCAATCAGTAGAACATATGGTTAACACCCGGTCATGCATGAAAAAATAATACCGTCTTGTACCGTGAAACCGGTATAATTTTGAAAAATACCGTGATATAAATTTCTGGTCATACCGCCCAGCACTAACTCATACAAGGATATTTTTTCTTTCGTTACTTGAATTATAGGGTAATTCTAACTGCATTATAATAGGCTTCATCATGCAGTGAATGCTTTTGGAAATTTTTTTTTTGTTTTTTTTTGCAAATTCAGTGATGTATTTGAAAATGTCATCTCTCAGTATCGTCTCTCTGTCCCCCATTCACACATACAGCACAATGATGTTATGTCAGGGGAATGTCTTTAAACTCTAATTAAGGAAATGTCATACCTTCTGTTGTCTTCTTTTTTTCTACACAAAATGATTGGCCAATCGCCATTATTGAGTTCTTAAATTATCATACATAGAGAATTTTAATATTTCATTTGCATGATAAGTTTTACATAACATTATTAATCTAAAGGGGATGGTAAGGGGGATGGTGGTTGAAGTGATGCTTTTTGTCTTTTTTTCCAACAAGGGGGATGCCATCCCTCTGCACCCCCCCCCCTCAATTTGACCCCTCGTTAGGCTCTAAGGTTCAGCACACAGGGTCAGGGGTTTGTTCAAATCCTTAGCAAGAATTGCTAATAAGCCTTCAGGCTGGCAGGGATTTCAGTTTGAATGTGGAGAACCTTTGCTCTGTTTGTTGACAGATTTCTTTGCCTAACACACAGAACACAAACAAATAAAATCCTCTATGAGCCCAGTGTTCCGTAGGAGATGCTTAAATCAGTTAGGATCAATGAAAGAGCCCAGCTTGAAGGATTACAGTCTTAAGAGCTTGGCTAAGTAAGGGACTCATTAAACTCTACTAGTGCTAACCAGCTCCCACCCCTGCTGAGGAGAGCAAAAGGGTGGGTGGGGGGGCGGAGGATCTCGGTGGCTCTGCCTCCTGGGTTAGCACAGGTAGAGAGGATGTTTGGAGAGGTGAAATGACACGGTCTGGGGGAACTCCAGATGCAATGAGGAATGGAAAGGCTGAGCATAAACAGAACATTTCCAAGAAAGCAGGACTTCGCCCTGCTGGCCAACTGTAGCCATCCACACACATACACAAGCTTAGTATTCAGTGTCACACCAAGGACCCAAGCGGCTTGTTTACTCAAGGCCTAATTTAAACCGTCTGCTCCTGAACTTGTGCTTGTTTTTATAGTTTCTCCACAGGCCTGAGCTGCATGAGTGCTACCTGCCTTCTATTAAATAGCCTTTTATACTATCTGTATCAGAGGCTGCTTTACACTTTTTAAGGCCTTTCATATTTTCTATCCTATACGGTCAAGACACAACATTTCCTGTTGGCTTCCAAGCTCGTACGCACCACACATTGGCTGATTTATGGAGAACCAGATTCGTACATACAGCAGGATGTTTTCTTCCAAGTCTCGGCATTTGAATGCTATCAATAAAATTGACAGAAATAAACTGTGCAGATTCGATCTCCAACAAATTCCATGAACAAACTCCAAGGACCTTGTTTGGTCAATCCCCTTGCAAGGCTGATTTATCCTGAAGAAAACCTATGATATGGAGGATTAGGCCTGGAGGAAACTATAGCAGCACTGTCGGATGAAGGCAGTAAATTTGTTTGTGCTTCCTAAAGCTCCACTGCAGCTTAAACAATCAAGTAAAGAACCACATGGCACAGACCACATCGAAAAAAAAAGAAAAGCACGACCACACCAAAGGACGTCTACAATCGTACAGAGGAGGAAATGCAAATATGGAATGAATAATCCAGACAACCTCATAACCACTGGCGGGCATGACGTCACCCAGAAATGTCATTCAGTAGTCCATATATAAATGAATGACATAGTAAATGCGGAAATGGATATTCCTTGAGACCTGTCTGGACTCTGTGACCCTAGCCGCAGCTATTGATATACTGTTGTATGAAATCACTAGTTTCCACAAAGATACAGAAGAATGAGCCACACTTTTGTCTCTTTCCATGAGTTTCAACGAGTCACAGTCTCTTTTGTGGTTGGTGTCTGTCAGTAGGACACAAAGCAAAGACCTTACTGTTGAGATAAAATCAATTGTTTCTCATCTTACAGACTCGAAGGACTGTGAAAGTGAGTGCTGGTGAGAGGAAAGACCCATTCAAATGCTGCAACCCATGACCATCTGGAATATGACAATGGTTTAAACAGTCACCATGTCGTCATGGCAAAGGTTTGACATTCTTAGGTCATCACTGACCACAGTGTGAGGTGAGGAGAATAACATTTGGTTTGCCTGTTCATCATACTCATCGTTTCTGAAGTACTCCAGTTGTAGTCTGTGACGCTCTCAGGAAAAATTAAAAGGAAATATGCGTTATTACTGTCGCTTTTGTTTGTGTCTACTACATATTTTGTGACAAAAGCTTCCTGAAGGGAAGTGCCCAAGTAGATGTCCAAACACATTAATGCAGTCACACCGGCATTCTGTTATTGTACAGATGGAATGTTTGTTTGTCAGTCTGACAATTATTTTCTTTGGAGCAGAATCTCTATCTTTTGTTTCTTTCACCTTCCTCCAGTCATGCTCCTCTGGGATATTCCAGAAAGCAGGTTATGCAACATACCTGGGTAAGTTTAGGGATAAGGAAATGGATAACCTCAACCTTCAATACTATAACCTCAACCTATATATTTAGCATCAAACTAACAATATAAGATTACAATATGAGATTAAAATGATTGCACAACTGCCCAGTAGGTGGCAATATGCATTAAGGACAGGCACGTGCAGAAGGGGGTGCGATGGGTGCTTGAGCACCTGCCCCTTTCCCCTTGATGCCCAAAGTGCCCTTTTGTCAAGGCAATTATTTTTTATTTTTTTTGTAATTAAACGCCATTTTGTGAAGGACTGCCCAATCTAACTATTAGTAAAATGAATGAATTATAATTTAGTCGTAAATAAAATTATCTACATGATGATCAGTGTTGCCAACTTAGCAACTTTGTCGCTAGATTTAGCAATTTTTCAGACTCCCTTAGCGATTTAAAAAAAAAAAAGCGGCTAGCGACAAATCTAGCGACTTCTTGATCCCTCAGACACCTTTAATGTAGCGCACTACCAGGATGCCTTCATAACGTCCGCGGCTGCCGGTAAGTGGAGTTCTCAGCTCAGAGTGATTAAGAGGTGCAAAGAAATATTTAACTTTTAAACTTAAAGTGGTCTTTTCTGTTCTGTGTTTCTTTTTTAAAACTGCGTCACGGCATTTGCTGCTATCAATACAGAAGCATCCGTTTCGATACATGTCTCAGCAAGGAGCACAGCCCTATTAAAAGCCGTGCTCCATGTGCCCCTTTTATACTTTGAGCACCTGCCCCTCCAAAGGTCTCTGCACGGCCCTGATTAAGGATGTAAATCACCATTAAACAAAGTAAGAAGAAAGTAGAAGTATACCATGCTGAGACAGTGGAACACGTTTTGATGATATGTAATGCATATGAAAGGAAAAGGCAAAGTCTTAAACAAGAATTACAATCCCTAGGAATAAAATAATTCACAATAAATAATATACTAAATGATGGTCCAAATGCAGGAAAACAAATGAGTGCAATCGTAAGATTTTTTAGGAATAGTAAATTTAAATACAGGATATGGGGATTACATGATAATCATAGAAATCATTCTCTTCAAACTCCATCACATGCCATGCTGCTTTTTAGCACTTGCTTCCATGGTGGCTTCTGGATTTGCCTCTTGGGGATGTCTTGTGTGTTGTTCACCATGAGCATGTGCTGAGTTGACCGAACTTACTCCCAGATGCGTTTTTGGAACCAATAACCGTGACTAAGAAACATTTGAGTTAATCAACAGAGGGGTTTATGTGATGGTAAGTTAACCCTGCTTTCTTAGTCACAGGGAAAGGGCAAATGTCACCAGTGTGAATGAGCATGTGTGTGTGGTCCAGTCTATTTCAGTAAGGTAAACATAATGATGCATTGGATTTTATAACAGCCTACAGCAAAAATTTGTCATGCCCATTTTTGTTGTTAATGATCAATCTAGGCATTAATCTGCACGCTTTAAGAAACAACTGCCAACTACTCTGGTGTGTTTACATCTTTAGGTGTTTATTTTGACTACTTTTAGTGCTTAGGTTACAACCCTTTGCTGATATATCACACAGTAGATGATTTCTGAGAAGTTAAGTCATAATCATGTGTTAAAAAATACTCCATGGTGTTAAATATAGGTACTTAATTGCGGAAATGTTTGAAGGTTCAGCTTGTACTATGACCAGGTCTCAAACATTTACCAAACAAATTCAGTGTCACATTCATCAAAAATATGGCAAAGTTTGGAATATGAGATAAAACTAAGGAGATACAACATTTATGATAGTACAGTGAGCCCACCCAAATCTTATGTTTGTGCTCTCACCTTAACTTTGGGTGGGTTCCACCAGTGGTCTTTCATCACTGCTGCAACGCTCATGTTGCTGGGCAGGAGGGCCACACTGCTGCTAGCATCTCTACAGGCCACCTCACACTCCTTTCCTGTTGGGCATCATAGACAGGTGTTACTCATGTCATGACCATGGTATATTGATATCTGCTTCAGGGCAAATTAAATGTACCTTTCTGATCATTAAGAACGAGTGACAGGGTGTCTGCAGGATTTTTAAGCTCAAATGTAAGACTTTTTAAGACCTGCACAAATAAAATTAATACCATATGTGCGGGCTAGGGCAATGTCTATGATAACATATTAAACTGTACAATGACTGTAAAAAGCATGATTTACAGTTTAGATACAGGTTTTCACAAATACAAAAAGTTTTATAAAATGATCAACTTCACATTTCAGCCTTTAAACATTTTTAAGAAAATGGATGAGTCAAAAGTATCAAATATTATTTTAAACAATATCAATCGATTATTATATTAATTAAATAACAATGTATTTACTGTCTTAATTCATTTGATTTTTATAATGCATTATCTTTTTGTCGCTCCACCAGTTCACATTTACAACATTTAAAACATGGGATGATTTTCACTTTGGTCTGAACAGAAACAGAACGGCTTATTGAAAATGCAAATTCATTCTCTGTCAGCAGGTGGAACAGCAAAAATATAGCAGTTTCCCTAGTAACCGCAGTACACAAAGCAGCACAGCACGTGACATAATTCTTTATGTATTTTTAAAATCAAAAATAGAGTAAAAACCATAATATTGTGAAATATTATTGCAATTTAAAATAACAGTCTTCTATTTCAGTACATTTAAAAATTTTATTTGATGACAAAGCTGAATTTTCAGCATCATTACTCCAGTCTTCAGTGTCACATGAATATTCAGAAATCATACTGATATGCTGATTTGGTGCTCAAGAAACATTTCTAATTAATGTTGAAAATAGTTGTGCTGCTTAATAATTTTGTGAAAACCATGACCCATTTTTCAGGATTCTTTGATCAAAAGAACAGCATTCATTTGAAACAGAAATCTTTTGTAGCATTATAATTGTCTTACTATCACTTTTGATTAATTGAATGCATCTCTTTAATAAAAAAAAATACTATCCCCAAACTTTTGAACTATAGTGTAGCTAAAAACGTGAGGATAGTTTAAATAACTTCTTCATCAAGAATAATTAACCAGACAGATAAAACCTAGTGAGAGTTTATGTTATTAGCTAGCTACTATACTGCCCCACAAAGAGAATACACATCAACCACATATTTAGTCAAAACTGAGTCATTACTAAAAATCAGCTCTCCAATACAATGTGACAGATGGGTTTGACTCAAAAAATCTCTGATTAAGACAGAATTTGAAATTACTCAAAAATATGCTGTTGTAGTTACACTGCCTCTTGTGGCAATGTTGAGACTGCAGTGCATACATGTGTGTGCAGTGTGTTTTAGGCCTAAGAAGTGAAAAGCAGATAGTCAGAGACCTATGCCATGTTCATCCTTGCAGTTGAGATGGATAGTTGGGCTGAGATTCTGCGGAAGGGAACACTGGCCTGTCAGGTTGGGGCAAAGACGGAAAGAACCGGTCCAGTTCCCATCCTTTCTGCATCGGATCACGTTGGTGGAAGGACCCTGGAGCAAAGGCCAACATTTCTATTAATCATCATAAAAGAAGCTCACTAACCATCACCACATGGCAAAAAACATATGTGGTTGAATGTAAGGGTGGAGGCAAAGGATGGGCATGACCTCAAGGTTCAGTTGCCAAAATTACATATTAGAAGCTGTGTAACTGACAAATGAAACAAAGCATATGTAAAATCTGTCAGTCTACCAGTCATGCTGCTTATGAATAGCCAGAGGGATGACACAGAACAATCGTGATGCTTAAAAGTGAGTGATAGGGTGCGCATGATGAATGGAAGGTGCTGCAGACAGTAATGGGAAGTGATGGACTGAGATGTTGATGGAGGAAGAGAGAAAACGAGGAGAAGAGAGAGAGAACACGACAGACCTGCTTGCAGCGGCTGTGCTGTCTCACCGTGTGGTTAGCCCTGTTGCAGTCAATCCAGCAGTCGCTGTTGAACTGAAAGCCGTTTGTGCACTTGTAGGTACCATGGAAAATGGGAGGAGGTGGCTCACATGTGACTGCCACACACTCACCCGACTGCCAGGTTCCATCCTCCGTACACTGCCGCTTAAATGCACGCCTGTGGTACATCACAGGCACTGACCTACAACACGTTCATTATTACAAAGACAGATAGATTCAGCAGAATTCTCTATCATAGTTTTTGAACATGCAAAGGCTGGAATACATTGCACCACTTTTGCTCTGATTTGCAGTCTGAAAGAGTTGACGCTAGTTGCCGAAAGTCACAGTCTGCAGATTTTGGGTAGTCGGTGTTGACCGATTTCACAGAAAATGATATAATGTATGATGGGGGCAGATTTTTTAGCTTCAGTCTATGACATTCGTGATCTTCAGTCGTTTAGTGTATGATACCTAGTGTTTTAAAATCTGTCCAGATTTTAAAAGTCGTGTAGTGTATTCCAACCTTAAAACAGCTTTTAATAATTCACTGTTCTTAGAATAAAATGTTCACAGACCACCCACAGTCCGTTCATGGACCATCTGATTAATACTGCACTTAAAACTGGCAAGTACTTTCCAAAATGACAAGCTCTAATCTGAATGGCTGCCTTTCCACAACTTCTGGGAGTCAGGGTGCACAGGATTTTATCAGACACTAAATTATCACCAAATAAATATCCATCCATCCATCTATCTATTTTCCAAACCACTTGTCGTACGCGGGTCACAGGCCAAGTAAATATCCAAAGTAGAACATAAAATGACTGTATATCGCACTTTTCTGAATTACGTGGAATATTTGTTACTAATTACTTTTGAACGCACAGAAATTCGGATCAAAGTCACATTTCCATTCATTTTGAATTAAATGGCACATAAAAACCAAACACAATTGCTTCCTGTATAAATGGGTTGTTTTTGGCCAGAACAATCTAAATTTGACATTTAAAGTGGACCAGATTTATGACTATAGTCTAATGTCTGGCTACACGTGGCAATGTGAGTAACTGACCAACAGGGTAAATAATGACCATGACTTTATCCAAGCTTTTAAACAATTGATACAGCCCTGGGTATTCAATTGCCACAACATGGTTAACTAAATCTGTAATGCAATAAACAAGAGGATGGTACGGTCTGAATATAGAACTCATTAAAGTTAAAGCTTATAATTATGCATGGTTTAGTGTTGTCTCACCTCTTGGGCTTGTCTGTGTGGGGCACATGGTAGCCAGGCTTGCACTTATACTTGCAGAAAGACCCAACTTTGAGGCCTGAGGCACTGCAGCGTTTGGTCTGCAGGACAGCGTTGAGTACAGGAGGAGGGACCGGACAGCGCAGCTCACAAAGAGCCTCGGGGAAGGACCACATGCCATCCTCCATACACGTCAGCACGTTATTACTGCCTGCAGAGATAAAAGGACAAAGAAACAGGACAAGTTGACCTCAGATTTAAAGTCAACCTACTTCAATTTGATGTAAAACACAGCACTGTTTTCTCAGTGTGCATTGTTTTATTTTTAATTTTTTGTAGTTGGTGTCAAAACCGCATTTGGCATTTTACAGAGCTGACCTTTCAATCCCAAGAGCCTTTAGTTTTAGGATGTGTCACGGTCTACCCACCCACAAGCTGAGCCGGCTCCCGGCATTGAAAAGTGCACTTCTTGCCGTAGGTGGTTCCCTCAGAGAACTCAAAGACAGCTGGGTGCACGTGGTACTTGTCAGGCCGCCCGCAGTCCACAGGTTCACAGGTCACCTGCTTGTTCCATTTCCCATCTGCGCAGGTGAGGGTCACCGTGGATTCAGACTGTCGAGAGGCAAAAACATGAAGGCAATAGTTCAAAACACGGGAAAAGAACATTTTGTTTTCTTTCGGTTAATTCACTGCAACCGCAACAATCCGTCAGACCAGACCATATCAAATAATACACATCGGTTTCAATAACATTTTACACACTATATAGACATAAAAATACAACTAAATTAAATGTATTTATGTATCTCTTGGTGAAAGGAAGCAGTAGGAAGCTAACAGTCTGAGTGGGTGATAATAAATGGCTCAGGTACAGCATATAAAGCTGTCAGAACTGAAGGCAGAGTGAGTCAGAGGTCCTTTCTGCTGTTTTACTAAGTCATGTCTGACCTGTATGATGTCTCCAAAGACATCTGTGCTAGTAGCAGAGCCACGAAACCCCACACATACCGGACCCCCCATAAGAACAAAACAATTAAACTTAGGGGTGTCACATTTTGTTTCAGAAAATTTTGTCGAATCACTGCCATGACATAACGTGACTTGTGTTTCATTAGTGATTTGAATGATTTTCTGTCGGAAAACCCTGAACGCGTCCAAGTGCACCAAGCCCAGTTCCGTGAAAATGAGACTGACGAAGCAGATCCTCATTTTCAAATGAGAGTAAAGTTACAAATTGTCACGAATTCATGATTGTTCATACACTTACGGTAAATAATAATAACCTTTGTGCTGAACACTAACATTTATAACATAGTAGCTGGTCTTTTTAAGGTAATGTTGACAGTAATAGTAGTAGATGTAGTAGTATTTCCCGCTCCTGTTATACATCCGCAGGTAATTTTACTTGATTTATTACAAAAAGGATAAATTAATTTATTCCAGCATGAGAATGATCACAGTCATAGAGTACGACTCCATCTAACCAAAATAGACAATTGCATACTTCAAAAGGTGCATGAGAATATGCTAAAAAAATTCTGTGAGTCCTTACTCTTTCTTTCTCTGTCTCTCCTCACTCCGTCAAAATCCAGTTTATTTTGACTATTTAGTTGTCCTTGTCTCGAGTAATATGTAGGGACATTTACTGACCTATTATTGACTCAATACATAAATCACTGCTTATATTAACACAAAACCCTTACTATGCCTACAAACAACCAATGAATCAAACTTCACTGTGTACAAAGCAGGAATAACATTCGTGAATTTGTCACCAGCAGCACAGCATTGCATTCTTCTACTCAATGAATCTTCAAATGCGTGAACCACGTAAAAAGTTTGTGTTTTTACTGCACGACAGCAAATTTAAAACTTCTCTTAGCCAAAAAAATTAAAAATGAAATAATTGTGATCTAACATGATGTGGGTTATGGCATTGTTGTGCTTTTTGTGTGTGGTATTAAGCATTAAGTAAAAAGTGATGTTTAACATGAACAGACTCTTTTAATGAAGCACAGAATAAAACATCTACTTCTCCACAGATTTATCCTTTTGTTTATGACAAGTGATGAAAGCTGGTTGGTTCCAAAAAAAAAAAAAAGATGTCAGCTATGTTTATTGAAACAATTTTTTTGAAGCCAAATAGTTTTTGCTGGCATGGCACAGATTATTGTGGCAAATGTTCTTTAACTTAGTTAGTTGTTAGTTCAAATACCTTCTTTATAAAACTTGCGAGAGGCTACAGAAGTACATAAAAGTGTCATCTCGCTTTCCCTGCCCAGACATCTCTGGCTCTCTCAAAGCTCAATGGCAGTTTAGACACAAGGTTTATTAGCCGGCACTGGCTGCATTACAGGAGCAGTAAAATAAATTACCACAGTCACATGGCTGTGTGGGACGAAAAGGAAAACATAAACTGTTGTGGTTGAACAGAAGAAAAACACACATTCAGGGGGCTGTTTAAATGCCCACCTGTATGTTACGTAATCCGTGTCGCATGCGCAAACGATAGCACACATAAACACACGCTGCTACTGCTTGGAAGTTATAACATGACGGGTCGTTCCTTGTGGTGAACATAGGGGAAGGGGACTGCCGTCACATCGGGGGGTGGCAAGTTGCGGAGGGGGGAGAGGGGTGTCTGCGTGCGGCGTTTCCTTCTTTTACAACTTTACAGCTGCCGATTCCTCCTCCACTGAGTATTTAACTACCACTGACTACTGTGCCTAATTCAACACAGATGCCTCTGTTGGCTTTTCTTCTACACCCCAGCCCCATCCTGTGTTTCTCTCTCCGCGCACTCATACACGCACGCACGAATGCACAGTAACACACGTAAGCAACACACACACACACAAACATGCATAAGTGCTAAAAAAAAGAAAAAAAGAAAGAAAAACGGGGTAAAGCAAACCTCTAACTCTCCGCTTCCCTCTGCTCTGTTGAAATGTTGTTTGCCTAACAGTGATTTCAGGACATGCTCTGCTTTCAATAACACCTTGGCAAAAACAAGCGGCCGGCAGCCAGGAAGCTGCGGACACAAAGACATGACACTGTAGTGGTGCTTGTTGCTGTAGTTATCCGCTCCCAAAACTGTCCTCTGTTCATGATGGGTTGCGAGATCATAACCCTTGATGCTTGGCTTGGCCTGCAACCTTATAAACACACATTTATCTCTGTTTGTAACAGCTCCTAATGCTGTTTTTTTTTCTCAATAGGACCGTATTGGCACCCTCTCAGTGATGTTACAGTAACAGGTTAATGATGAAATGGCTAATTTGTCTCTGACTAAAGTCTTTAGGAACACACATTATGAGCTCCCTGGAGATGGCTGATAAGCTGTAATGACTGTGCTGGGATCAGCACTTTCACTCTGTAGATGTATCGCACTGCTGTCATCAGCTCTCCAGCTCACATGCAAGTGAGACTTGGAAATCCATCCAGGCCAATTTATTTTAAACCTTTATATGGTCACATTTTTGCAGGGTAATCTCTGAAGCTGTCAAATTATAATTTCTAAACAAATACCCATTTACAATCACGTGTATGTTTGATATTATTAATCTACTGTACACACCCACACAGTATGTCCAGATTTTAGATTTTTTTATTTTTTATTTTTTTCCACTCAAAATAGTTTCAAAGAAGCCATAGCAGCCAGGCTCAACTGTTGCTCGTCTATGAAATCGATCAAATAATTTTTACTTTAACAACATTCTGATGATTATTTTGATTATGTTGTACCAAACACACACCATAACGATAACAGAATGAGACACAAAATATATGATATAAAATTAAAAGGGTATCTTAAATATAAAAGATTATACTTTTAAATGTAAAGGATTAAAAAAAAAACATAACATAGAATACAGAATATATATTTGACTGAAGGAGACCGAAGATAAATATGGATACATTAATTAACAAATGTGTTCTGTGTATTTTTGTACTGTGTGTAGTACATTTAATTTTAGTACAACATATTTTTAATCTGTGTATATGTGTGTATATTTATTTATCAATATAAACAGGCTAAACCCAACAGGTGAAGAAACAACCAAACTATACCATCGCTGCAGGAGGACATCAGATCAGTGTTGTTATCATTAAAACTAAAACTAAAACGACTATAAAAATCATTGTCATTAACTGAAATAAAGCAGGAATAAAATATAAATATTAGTTTAAAAAATAACCAAAACACAAAAAATTTGGATGAAAATTAGAAATATTGTTTTGGCATCTAACTGAAAATAAATTGTTGAAGTTGTCTTGAAGTTGAAGTACTAAAATTACTAAAACTTAAACTGAAATAAAAATAAAGTTAAATAGATAATTTAAACAATAATAAAAAACTACAAAAGCACCTAACAAAACTATTAATACTTGAACTAAATTAAAATGAAAACTGCAAATATAAAACACTACAAAAAATGACTTTCTTACTTTCTTACATTGGGATGGGGGTTTCAGGAGCCATTGGGGAGATGTCTAGTGCAGTTATGTAAGGTATGAGAGGTGTTTTTTCATAAAAATGGCCATGGCTGTTACCCGAACTGTAACTGCCAATGGGGTAAGAAAAATAATCTTACATGAAAGGGAAAACAAGATTATTTTTCTTACCCCATTGGCAGATTTTTTTCTTCTTGTTTCAAGCAAAAACTAACAAAAAATTATAATTTTTTTTTTCAGAAAACAAGACTTAATATCTTAAGTCATTTTGCTTCTCAAGTAAATGTATATTGATTTAAGAATGTTTAAATATTTGTACTACAAAACAAGGCAAAATACTAAGAAAATCATTTATATTATAATAATATCATTTTATAAATTGATATACATAATACTAAAATAATACTGCATCAAATGGGCCTGTTTTAAAACTTCACCAAATGCCAAACAATATCACAAAAGCCAGTGAGGTTTAGAAACTGCACAATGTGGGATTGTGGGTGCATTTTAAACAGATAAGCCATGGTGAAAGAAGGGTGAAGTTATTTCAAAACTCAGTATTTTTATTTAAATTTTACAGTGCAGTGCTGTAAATGTAGAACTACTACAGTTACAGTTACGAAAACTCTCCTCTCTTACCTTACATAACCGCACTAGACATCTCCCCAATGGCCCCCGAAGCCCCCAACCCCGGACCCCAATGTGCACCGCTGTTAAATAAGCCAAGCCCTCCCAAAAGCAGAGAAAAACTGTCTGCTGCCTTTCCTTCCAAATGCGTAATAACTCACAGGCCAAGCTTCTCAGTCGACTGCGGTTGCTGGCAGAAACCCACCCAACATACAGTAGAGCCCAAGTGCTTACAAAGAACACACAGCACTTTCTCGTCTTTTCTTTTTTTATGTTCGCATTTTCCCTTTTCTTTCTTCCCCTTGTTCTCCTTCTGTCAATATCACAAGAGAACAAGCGCTGGAAAACAGAACAGAGTTGTTTTTGAAAGTCCAGAGCTGCAAATGGCCCAAAACGTTCTTTGTGAATGGGTGGGGTGAAGGATGGCCGAGGGCTTGTGGAGTTAGTACAGTGCCAAACACTTAGCCAGTGGAGTGGGGTAAAGGACTGCCATTGCCACCACTGGCCTTTTGTGTGGGGGACCGGGGTCAACTGGGTTGCAGTAATCACTGCTCGTTACTTAGCGGGGGTGTACTGGGCCTGCAGATCTGCAGTGCTGCTGATCCGTGGCTGTGCCTTAAACAGAGTCTTCTGGGAGTGCGGTGGCGGCTAAGCATGGTGCTCCACTGTTTTGAAGTCAAATAGACTTGAACAAATTGCATCCTGACTGACTGCACTCTGACACTTTCTTCACACGTTCAAGCAGCAGTGAACCAGAAAATGCAAGCGCAATTAACAGATGTGCAAGGCACACACACACAAGATACAAGCACACCCTCGTGATCACGTATGCATGCCGACAAACACCAGACAGAGCCTTATAAGACTTGTGAATGGAAACCAATGATTTGCTAGATATAAGACAAAAAGAGTTAACTAGTGAACTGTTCGACTGCATCAGATCTTGTACCTGAATCTGAAGCTGAAAGGTGAATACAAGTAAATGACTCACTTTTTGTCATTTATCTCAATACTTTACCTGTATTCACCCTAATTAAACACTAATGGTTGGATTCAAAGTCAGTGAATCCTATTTTTTATCATGTTCAACTCAAAATAAGGAAAGTAATCAAGACATGAGTTTAACAAGGATTTGTTGACTTTAATTATATATATTTTTTATTAGGATTTGTTATACTCTTATTCAGCAAGAGCACATTTCAAGTAAACTTTATATTCATCAAAGAATCCTAACAAAAAATGTATGACATGTTCCACAAAAATATTAAGCAGCAAAACTTTTCAACATGGATATTAATAAAAAATGTTTCTTGAGCACCAAACCTGCATATCTATGATTTCTGAAGGATCATGTGATTCTGAAGACTGGAGTAATGACTGCTGAAAATTCCGCTTTACCATCACAGAAATAAATTACATTTTAAAATATATTGAAATAGAAAACAGACATTTTAAATTTGGTGCTGTCAAACTGATTAATCACATCCAAAATAAAAAGTTTGTGTTTACATAATATATGTGTGTGTAGGGTGTATATTTATATGTATATATACAGTAAATGCACACGCATACATCTATATATTTAAGAAACATTTACATGTAATATATATGTTATTTTCTACATAAATATAAATATATATTACATATATTTCTTAAATATATACATGTATGTGTGTGTATTTATATATACATATAAATATACACAGTACACACACATATATTATCTAAACACAAACTTTTATTTTGGATGCGATTAATCGATTTGACAGCTCTATTTAAATTGCAATAAACCATTTAAAAAAATACCAACCCTAAACTTTTCAATGGTACTGCATTTATTAGTACTATTACAGAAAAAAAATTAACTGTCACAATTATTTTTAAATTATTCATTACAAAGAACTATACAAAAGTATCAAGTTTGATTGGGAATTTCCAAAAGCAGGACAACCCCACTGATGTTTAAGCACAAAAGGATGCAGCCATACGCTGAGGGGGAAAAAGGAGCATGTTCGTGTTAGCCTGACAGTGATTTCTGGAAGGAAACTTCATTTACATCACTCACAGTTGACTGTTGAGGTTGCCGTTCAGTCAAACTGTTTTCTAGCCTATTACAATAACAACAACAACAACAAAAAACCCTTCCAGTCAGAGGGGAGGCCGAGAGTGAGAGAAATGTTTATGAAAAATCTACAGCTTCTCTTTTATTTAAGCCACATGGACCATTTCAGCAGTTCCAGGCAGAGAGAAAGGCATAAAAACAACATCAAGCCAATAACAGAGAGCCCACTGGCCTGAGCGCCAGCTATTGTGACTATTCACTTACCGTCTCACAGTTTGGTTAGCAAAACCTACGTGAGCCATAAATCTTTACTGCTACTTTCTCTCTATGTGGTCAGGGCATGAGTCAATGATTATTGTTTAATGTAATATAAACCGCTGTGTGTGCACACGAGTGTGCATGTGTATGTTTGTGTTGTGTGCTCTCTGAAACCTGGTCAAAATACTTGGCAAAAAATGTAAGACATTTTAGTGCAGGATAAAAACACAGAGAGTAAGCACACACACACACACACACACACACACAGTGTAACGTCCACAAATACACATTCAAAAAGCAATGAACAAGACTGTATTACCTGTGTTTTAATAATATCATCATCTCGGTGTATCTTCAGTGTATATCCTCGGTTGCAGGTGATAGTACAGCGAGCTCCATTGAAGTATCCAGGACTATTGCACTTCATCTCCGCATTACTGACCTTCGGCTTCTGACATTCAGTGGCGTCACACGAATAATGAACACAACTGAGGGATTACAGAAAGAACTTACATTATGACAATGTGAAATGTCTCGGTTACGTATGTAACCCTCGTTCCCTGAAGGAGGGAACGGAGACGTCACGTTGGTGACCGATGAATTTGGATCTCGCTTAGAGAGACCAATCCACTGCGAGTGTAACTAAATGAGCCAATGCACATTGGCATGCGATGATTGCATCCAGCTGCCGCTGATCACAGC